ATATTAATGCTTATTCTCTTCCCTCCCCCATACACAGAGCACATTCCCTTCTCCTGTCTATTTCTTTCCTTCTCTCCTTCATACTTGACCTAAATACTATTGCAGCAAACCACACTGCTTACTTATATGTGTGCACTGTGTGCCTCCCACATGGCTGGCAGCAGGGGGCGCCACAGTGCCTAGAGCTGGGGGTGGGGGGGACAGGAGTAAGAAAAACCTGAGTGTATGTCCCTTTCTCAGCTCCGGCTTCCTCATCTGCAAAATGGGGATATGACAACAGCACCTCCCTCCCAGGTGGCTTCACCATATGCACAGGGCTTTGCAAGCTAGAGCCCTGTATAAATGCACGCTGTTATCATTATTAATTATTATTGTTGCGTGCTTATTACATGCTCGCTCGCTGGATGACTGAGGCATTGTACCTCAATTCAAAAAATGGTTACCAAATGCCCACCACGTTCTTCTGGGGGAGTACGCGGAGTCTGGGCAGGGAAGCCCCAGCCAGCAGTCAGTCGGTCAACAAGAATGTACCGAGGGGCTCAGATGGGCCAGTCACCCTGCCCTCTGGGAGAAAGAACATGTCCGCATACAAGTAAACGCAAACTCTGTGTAAAGGAAATGTCTATTTTTGGCCCCGCCTTAGATCCCCAGCACTTGGCACCTGGTAGGTGCTTAATAATTGCTCGTGCAAAGAAACACTAGTGACCAAAAGGTCAGCAAAGGCCTCCTGTCGGAAGGGAGGCACGGTGGAGGGAGAGCTCAGGCCATGAAGGGCCTTGACTGGCCAATGGGAAAGTTTCCTACAAGATGAAGGACTAGCCAAATTCTCTAGTGCCCATTAACTCTTTTTCTTTTTTTTTCATGGAGGCAATTGGGGTTAAGTGACTTGCCCAGGGTCACACAGCTAGTGTCTGAGGTCACATTTGAACTCAGGTCCTCCTGACTCCAGAGCCAGTGCTCTATCCACTGTACTACCTAACTGCCCCACCCCCATTAACTCTTAAAAACTTCCCCGGAGAAAGCATGTGCCAGAGGCAGCAGCAGTCCTGGCCAGATCTACAGGATGAAGCCCAAGAAGGCAGCCTGAGGAGTGAACGCTGGAGGACGGGAATCCCTAAGATGCGTGCTTGTGTCTGTCCCCCAACCCATTCTACAAGGAGCAGGTGACAACTGTGTGCACATCCATGAGGGGGGGAAGGAATCAGGCTTTCTTGGATGGGGTGGCCCAGCACAGAAAGCACCCCCCACCCAAGGAGAGCCAGAGATGGAGCTGGGGGAGGGTGCAAGGCGAGGGGCTACACTGGGCTGGGCAGGAACATTCCTGCCTCCCTTAGCGCTGGGGCTAAGTCCAGTGAAAAGTAAATCCCCCAGTGCAGAAGAGGCTGAGGCAGCATTTCCGTCCAAAGTTCCTGCGGTAAGCTCACCATCAAAGGGGTGGGCCAAGTCAGAAAGTAGCAGGAAATAGAAGGAAAAGAGGCCCAAACCACGAGAGATTTCAAGAGGAAGAAAATTAAAGACAAACAGACCAATCAACAGAGAGGCTGATAAAACCAGAAGCATGAACACTAAAACACCCAAGAAGTTACAAACGTCTCTAAATCAACTATCTTGACAAAAGAAATGGGACTGACGCCTGCTGAAACTGGGAATCCTGTGGAACCCTAAGAGCGGTTCCCCAGTGTTTGAAAAGAAGGACGAAACACAAGAAATCCAGTGAGAAGAGAAAAAATGTTGGCGCCCCCCAGCCTGTGCAGCAGCAGCGCAATGAAGGCAAACTGAGCCGTTGTCAGTTGCCGTCGGTCTCTACTCCAGGGGACGTTTCTCAGCTCCCTCGGACGGGAGGCCAGAGGGTGGATGGAGCACGATCCCCCTCCTCTATTCGCCTGCCTTCACAGAGCGCTCAGAGCTCGGCACGGAAGGCTCTGCTCTCCACCAGCAGTAAGCTGGGAACATCACCCCCTCCAGGGGACTTCACACCCCACCCCTTTTCAGCTTCCTTTGTAAGTTATCTCCCCCAAATAGAATACAAGCTCCTTGAGGGCAGTGACCCTCTTTTTTTTCACCCCGTTATTTGTAGTCCCAGCAATTAATATAGAGCCTGGCACATAGCTGGCACTGAATAAATGCTTAGTGAATTGAATTGAGAATAGAAAACATGAATCTATGGTGGCAAATGTCTTCAAAGACACAAAATAGCAAACAAACGATGTGGAATACAAGCATATTGATGTGGAGGATAATCTGGAAGAAGACAAGCAAAAGGTGCCTAAAAGGAAAAGAGCACTTTTTTTTTTTTTTGTTAGGATGCACAGATAACAGTTAAGGGTTATATGCAGGTTTCCTAGAAGAACATGACAAATCCACAATGCAAGAAATAACTTTTCCTGCCCTTATCCCCCACCTCTTCTCCTCCCACTCCCCCAACAACAACAAGAAGCTGTCTGACGCCGGTAGGATGCGGCTGAACCTGCAGGTCACTTCCAGGAAGCGGGGGGAGGGCGCCAGGGAACAGAAGCCGATGTTTCAAATGCCAAGACACTGATGCATTTAACAATTCCAATGACAAATGGTAAGTTCTACAAGCAGCCAGGAGAAAGACCATCAAACCATCAAAGAATGGAAATTTGAATCACACAACACTCTCAGTCTTCTACACCCACTAGAAACCACAGAATGGAATGGAACGGTATGTTCTAAAAAGCAAAGGATCTCAAGATGCAACTCAAAATGATATACCCACAAAACCTTAGGCAAATTATCACTAAAAAAAAAACCAAACAGAAGAGGATGTATTTTTATTCGACGGGTAACAGGGGACCACTGAACCTTTCTGCGCGATGGAATAACGTGGCTGTGTGCGTGCTGCAGGAACTCCACTTGGCAATTCAACCAAGGATGAACTGAAAGGGGGAGGCGTTGGCCAGAGCAGCACAGGGCACTGGGCACTGGACTTGGAGTCAGGACACGCGTGTGCTGGACTCAACAGCCTCTGGGGGCACTTCTAGCTCTCCATCTCCGCTTCGGTCACAACCGTTCGGGTGAAAGACACTGAGGGTCTGACCTGGGAGGATCGACAGGAGTAGAGACTGACCAACTACGGGGCCTGGGCAAGAGAGGGGGAATGAAGCAGAGAGGGACCACCTGGCACGGGGCACAGTTTATGCAAACTCCCAGAGGCAGGAGATGGGGGATGTAGTTCAGGGGGTAGCTACAAAGCAGAGGCCAGGAAGGTGCCTGTCAGGCAACAGGATTAGGAAGAGGTCTGGAGGCCTACTGTGGGGGGCCTTCCATGCCGGCCTCAGGAGTTCAGCATCTCCTTCTCCCGGAGGTTGGATGAGGAAGAACCCCCCAAAGGTGGGTCAGGCCTGCACCTTGGAAGATTATTTTGGCAGCTCTGTGCAAGATGTTTCAGAGGCCAATTGAGGCGAGCCCCTGAATGAGGGGAATGGGCAGCACCCTGAGCCCCTGAGAGGCTGCTCAGAGAGTGACGGTGAAGATGATGGCTCCACTTTGGAGTCCCTGGGACACCTAGATGGAGGTGTCTGGCAGGAAGCTGACCCTGAGGGGTCCTGGAGCTCGGAAGCAAGCCGAGGGCTAGATCCACGGATCTGGGGGTCATCGGGGTCACCTGACACTCGGGGCCAAGAACAGAGCTCTGGGGACGCCGGCACCGAGGGAGGGGGAAAAGCCAAAGGTGGGGAGAACAGTGTCCGGGGTCCACAGCGGTAAGGAATCATTCCCCAACACTCGGAGCCATCCACACACAGATGGGCCGCCTTGCACCTGGGCTCCACAAACACTCATTAAATCAGGAGAGGCCTGCTACGGGCACGACGGTGCCAGGGACCATCGCAGAGCCAGCACCGGGGTGTCAGCCAGACGCGGCCTGGAGAAGCTGGGCTGGACGCCATCAGAACAAGCACGAGGAGGTCCAGAGGTGCAGGGGCTTGACCAAGGTGACGCAGGGCTAGGAGCCAGTCAGCTGCAGAGCCAGTCTCATTCTCCTCTCTCACCCCTGCTTGGCGTGGCAATGCAGGCGGACGTCCTGGACGTGGCACCATGGGATGGCGGACCCCGGGAGCGACATTTGACAACACATATTTCAGGATGGAGCAAAGGCCGGAGAGCCGGGGCAGCTCCACGCATGAAGCGGCGAGGGCCTGAGTCAGGCCGGTAGCGAGGAGGACGATGGGACCCAGAAGGAGTGGGAAGGAGGCTCAGAGACCCCGGGGCTGCGTCCGCCAGTGACGGAGCCCTTCTCCTTAGCACTCTGGCTCAAACGCCACAACGTCGACAAATGGCTAAGTGCAGGGAAGGCACTTCCTCAGCAGCTGTGTTCTAGTTCCCTGATTAGCGTGACCAGATACGGGGATGGATGGAGAACAGGAAGTGAAATTTGTCTGAGGGGCAGCCCTGGGTTACAGGGAGGGCAGATGGGGCAAGAGGCAGGGAATTCTGGGTGAGGAAGGCAGCCCTCCCTTCCTCATCTGCCCCTCACTCCAGGCTCATAATGCCCACTCCCCACATCCCTTACCAACCTTTTGTGAGATTCCAAGGACACAACAACGTGTGTAAACACACTCCCCAGAGGCAAAGAGGTTTTCTCCTCCCTCGAGCCACAGACGGGGCAAGGGACATGGGAACCACCTTCCAATGTCTCGGTTCTCCAAAGAGGAGAGAAGCAAGGCCCGGACTTAGTGGTTGGGGAGGTCTTTTGGGGACAGCTAGCTAGTGTGTGAGCAAAAAGGGAAGGAGCGCTCCCTCCCACACCAGAGCCAGAGACAGGCTTGGTGCCGGCTTCCAACTGGGCCACGTTATGTTTATCTGGGGCTACTGCTAAGTGTACATTTGTTGGACCCTGAGCTGACTCTCAGAGCGGCAGTAAGCTTGTCTACTGAGATGCATGCTGAAGAAAAAAAGGAACAGGCCATGTGGCGCATTTAAACAGACAACAAACCAAATTACTTTTTACAATGTAGGAATAGAAACATGAGTCTTACTTGTGAGATCCAATCCCAGAAGGAATCGCTTTAATTTTATTATGCCGGAGATCCAGCCAAACGAGATTTGGCAGGAGCTGAAAGAAATCTTTAGGAATTATGATGAGTTCATTTCTTTGAAGATGCAATTGCTTCCAGGAAAACAAAAAACAGAAACAAATAACAACAAAAAAACAGAATTAGATTCTATCACGTGTGCCAGTGACGATGGGCACTAAGACAAGCGCAGTGTTTCTAGTATAACAAGCTCCTGCCTATTGTAGGGATGAAGGAAGCTGCTCTCTCAGCTCGTCACAGCCCCAGACTTCCCTTGAGTACTAGGCCAAACCTTGCACTGGGGTCCCTCATACGGCAGCAGCGTCCTGGCATCCTGGTCACTGGCCATGGGGGAGGGGCTCCCCTCCCCCACCCAAGACAGCCACGGTGACACAAATCCAGACAGGCCAGGCTCATCCCTGCTCGTCCTCCCAATGACCACAGCGTCCCCCACCCTGCACCAGCACCTCCACAACTTTGATGGACATCTTTCTAACATGTATTACACCATCATTTGTTTGAAAGAAAAAGCGGAGGCTCATTCTTAAGGAAGCGGGCTTATCCTGATGAAGCCATCACTGTGCACCTACTTCTTACAGCTGTTTTTATGGTATCACGTTCACTCCAATAATCTCTTGGTCTTTGCCCGCCCCCATCCCCGGCTGTAGTTGTGTGTGTGTGTGTGTGTGTGTGTGTGAGACACCATGTTCGAGCACAGGTGTGCACGCACGCGCACACACACACACACACACACACACACAATTAAACAGGCCATAGTGACAGCCCAAGGCTCTCTCCTGGCCAATTAAATCCCATCCAAAGCTTCACCACTTAGGGCTTTGTGCCAGACATGGTTAACCAATATGAGCTTTTCCAGGTGACCTGTGAATCTCTACAACATTATCCCCACAACAGATCTCAATAACAGACTGTCACAGGGCATCGGTCCCATCTCACCATGGGCTGGGAAGCCCTGATGAGAATTTTACGAGACAGGGACGCCGTCTGGTGAGCACGAGCACGCCCTGTATCGGGTAGTGATGCCCCGGACAACATGGTGACTCACTTTCAGATGAGGGATTTTGAAGATTTCCTCACTTAGATGTTCAAGGCCTCTTTGGCTCAAGTCCAGAGCAGGGGAAGGAGAGAAGAGGATTCCCTCAACGACATTCCGAACATCTTTCGGGAGGGGGATTGAGGGGGTCCTGGTCTTCACCGAGCTGCTCTCCATGTGGCCAATGAGCCCCTTTGATTCTATGATAGAGCAGCCCCCTTCCATCTGTTAGCACAGCAAAAGACCAGTCCTCCGAGCAGAACTCATCCTCTGGTAAGGAGTGACCTGAAAACAGAAAAAACAAACAAACAAAGAGATGGGCACAACAGTCAGGTGGACATGAGGTCGGAGTGTTAACTCATACATAACCATGGGAACTGGGCACTTACTCTGAAGAGTCACAGACCCTGAGGAAGGTGCCCAGGCACAGCTACCCCTGGGGAGGGGGCTCCTTCTACAGACGTACAGAGAGGGGCACTAGAGAGAAGGGCCAGAGCCCAGAACTCCCAGCATGGTTCTCTCACTCCCACGGATGCCTCTGCCCCATCTGAGGAAGTACCTGGGCCAGCCTTGCCTAGCCCCCTCCCTTTTAAGCTCTCTTCTGTGTTGTCGTTCAGTAGTTTTCGGTTGTGTCTGACTCTCCGTGACTCCATTTGGGGTTTTCTTGGCAGAGATACTGGAATATTTGCTGTTTCCTTCTCCATCTCATTTTGCAGATGAGGAAACTTAGGCAAGCAGGGTGAAGTGACTTGCCCAGGGTCACACAGCTAGGAAGTATCTGAGGTCATTTTTGAACTGGGGAAGATGAGTCTTCCTGACTTCAGGCCCAGTGCTCTGTGCACTGTGGCGCCCCCTAGCACCCTCTTTCATATCTTTCCAAATTAGAATGCAAGCACCTTGGGGGTAGAAACTGTCTCCATGCTTACTTTTGTATTCTCAAGGCTGAGCACAGTGCCTGGCACATGGTAAGAGCTTAATAAATGGGATATGCATGCATGCATGCAGGCATTCTCTCTTCCTCCCCCTTTTCCCTATCTGTGTGGCTGTCTTGTGAAGGAAGCACTGGACCTGATCTGCCCGGCCCTGGAGGGCAGGCCTAGGAGCCACAGGAGGGAGCTACAAAGCTGGAGACTTAGGCTCTGTGAGGAAAAACTTCCTCTTTTCCAACATTAAAGTTTGGCGTGGGACCAATCACCAAAGGCTTAGCTCAGCACGACCAAGGCATATCCTCCAAACTGTGATTCACCATCAACACGTTTCTGTACAGATTAAATTTTCTGCAGAACCATGGGCCTGTCCATGAACATACGCACTCTGTGCTTCATTAAAAACTTAAGAGAAAAAAAAATGCAACAAAAACAATGGCCAAGACAGAAAGGCTCAACATATTGATAATAGCTATGCAGCTTCTCTCCACTCCTCCCCCATCCCTTCTCTAGATACACCACCCAAGTTCCTTTACCTCGTGCTGGTGCCATGAATCTGGCATCCTTTGTCAACATACTCATTGTCTTCCTCTTCGACATCAAACTGCAAGTCCCACCAACACCTCAGACTCAACATGTCCAAAACAAAACTCATTCCCTTCCCTTTTGCTCTAATAAACCCTCCCCCCACTGCCTTCCTTATTCTTGCTGAGGACACCCCCATCTTCCCAGGCTCCCAACCTAGGAGTCACCCTAGACTCCTCACTCTCTCACCCCTGATCCAATATGGTGCCAGGGCCTGTCCATTTCACCTCTGCTACATCTCTGGTCCATTTCACCTGTTACAT